ACCACTATAAAAATACCATGTACACTACCACAACATACCATGTACACTACCACAATATACCATGTACACTACCACAACATACCATGTACGCTACCAAAACATATCATGTACAAATACCGCAATATAACATGACATTACCACAAAAATACCATGTACACTACCACAACATACCATGTACACCACAACATACCATGTACACTACCACAACATACCATGTACACCACTGAAACATACCATGTACACCACAAAATACCATGTACACCACAACATACCATGTACACCACAACATACCATGTACACTACCACAACATACCATGTACACTGCCACACATACCAAAGTACACTACCACAACATACCATGTACACTACCACAACATACATGTACACCACAACATACCATACACACCACACTACCATGTACACCACAATATACCATGTACATACCACAAAATACCATGTACACTACAACAACAATACCATGTACACCACTGTAACATACCATGTACACCACAACATACCATGTACACCACTGTAACATCCTGTATACCACAACATACCATACACACCACAACATCCATGTACACCACAATAACCATGTACACTACCACAACTACCTGTACACTACAACAACATCCATGTACACCACTATAACATAACCTGTACACCACTATAACATACCATGTCACTACCACAACATACCATGTACACTACATCAATATACCATGTAAAACTACCGCAACTACCATGTACATACCAAAACATACCATGTACACTACCACAATATACCATGTACATTACCACAACATACCATGTACACTACCAAAACATACCATGTACACTACCACAATATACCATGTACACCACAGCATACCATGTCACCACAACATACCATGTACATTACTGTAAAATACCATGTAACACTACTCTAACATACCCTGTACACCATACACACCATGTACACCCCAACATACCATGTAACTACAACAAAAAACAATGCACCCACAACATAACTTACACCCCACATACCATTACCCCACATACCGTACACTCCACAACTAAAGTACACCCGATACCATTTTCACCCAAATCCCTTTCC